TATGTAGTTGCTCACAAACTTTGGTTGCCTCTGTAGGATTTCCTCAGGCTTCAGTCTTTACTGAACTACATTACTGTGTCTTTTCTTTTAAAGAGGCCTCAAACCAATGACCTTTCGGTTGGCAAACAAGCGCCTAACCATTGCTCCGCCAGGGCTCCTTGATGTACATGTACAGTGTGTTGTTGTTGTTGTTGGTAGTGCCATCGAGATGACTACAACTCACACCAACCCTATGAATCACTGTGCCCAATCATGAGCCAACCTCACCAGCCGTGACACACCTGCCCCCATTTCCACAGTCACTGTGTCAAGCCATCTCATCCAGGGTCCTCACCCTCCATCCTTCCAGGAATGCTGTCCTTCTCCAGGGACTGGAGAATAGTACTTAATAAGTATCAAATCCATGACCAGAAAACTTACAAGATGAGGAGTGAATGACTAGAATAGATGCCATGATCAAGAGCTGCGTCAAGGCATTAGTTTGGGCTGGCATCACCTGGGCTGTTAGATCTTAGCTGATGCACCTTTGGACCATCTGTCATCTCTGAGTGTCTGAGGAATGGCCACAGTGACACTGTGCCAGTGGGAGCCGTTTTTCCCACCCAGGTTGACCATAAAGCCAGTTGTGGTCATTGCTGTGGTGCTCGGAAAGGCCACCGTGAGATTTTCGCAATTATTCTAAATGGCAAGGTGAAGACCATCTCATGCACCATTTGTGTTTTAGATGGCTCCTCCCCTTATTCATTAGGTGGCCATGGACACTGGCCAACTGGGGATACAATAAGTTCATTTCTCCATTTTCTAAATGAGTTCTCTTTTTACAAGGCCAGCGCTCCAGCGGCCTCCTTTGAAGCTGCTGTTCTGCATTGAGCCATGGTGTTATTTCTAAGGAGTCAGCCAGCAGACTGGAGGCCTTTTTGGCTTCAGTTCACCAGCAGCCCTCTGGACAACATAACTCATTTGTTTGTCTCCCTCCCCTCCCCTCCATCCCCGCTTTCTTCTCTCCCCTCCCCTCCATCCCCGCTTTCTTCTCTCCCCTTTCTCCATCAGAACGATCCCCACACCGGCCCATCCTCCAAGCTGGACTGCCAGCGAACGCCTCCACCGTGGTCGGGGGTGATGTAGAGTTTGTCTGCAAGGTGTACAGCGATGCCCAGCCCCATATCCAGTGGATCAAGCACGTTGAAAAGAATGGCAGCAAATACGGACCCGACGGGCTGCCCTACCTTAAGGTTCTAAAGGTGAGCATTTCCCAAATGTAAAGACATCCACACTGGAGTCTCCTTGATAGGTGTGGCCACCAGGTTCTGAGTTTCCTGCTGAATTTCTGAGGAGAGTGATTGCCACCTGATTGGCCAGTCCAATATGTGGCTGAATTAACAGATCATTGTGTCTGCTAATTAAATTCCAGGAGAGGATCATGGAAAGCATAGTAGACTTGGAGCCAGAAGAGTTATTTATCGGGCCCGAGATCTTAGAATGTTTGGGCTCAGCTGCCCCTCTATGAAGGTGAGGGTAACAGTTGAATCCCCCTTTCAGGGAGGTTATATTGATTAAATGGAAACAGCCCATGGAAAGGCTTCGAGACTACACCTCATCCCAGTGTTATTGTTCTAATACTGTTCTCGGTTGATGGGGCCTTAGCACCAAATGTAAGGCTCCACCTTTAAGAACTATTTAGAATCCCCTTTAAAAGTAAACAAAACCTCTTGACCTTCATATATAGTTCAGGCTGTGTACATGTTAGCAGATGATTCTGTGCTAGCAGAATGTTGAAAATGGACCTTTTCGTTCCCCTCTGTCTTGTTTGGGTCCATGGGGGCGCATCCCCATTTTTGTAGCCTTAGATCTTCCCCCCCCCTCAATCAGACTTACTTTTCAAGATGATAATATCAGGTAGCAGGTACGTCTATGCACTAGAGCTTTTTTATTATTATTATTAATTTTAATGAAAGTTTACAGACTTAGGGTTTCCAGTCATTCATTGTTTGTGCACTGGAGCTTAGTGCTGTGGTGTCTCCCAAATGTAATTATTTGTTGAGGTCCTTGAGAACAGTCTTTAATGCAACCATGAGTAGCTCAACCCAGGTGACCATCCTTCCAGCTAATGATTGATTATTTATTTTTTTTTTTAAATCCAAAAAGGCTGGAAAAAGTTGACCAACGTGAAGAACTCCCAGCCCAATCTGCTTTGGTTCCACCCTTTCCTCCCCTCTCCCTGGGCCACTTCCCCTGTTTCCTAGCTTGCCTTATTTTGTTACCATTTACACCCACAGCCCTTTACCGCCGCTGTGTAGACCTCACAGAGGTCGACGTTCTCCTGTGGTGTGTTGGTGGTGGGACCACAGACAGTGAGAAGTTCTTCCCGGTGGGCCTTTATATGCTTCTCCTGTGTCTGTTCCAGCACTCGGGAATAAATAGTTCCAATGCAGAGGTGCTGGCCCTGTTCAATGTGACTGAGGCGGATGCTGGGGAATACATATGTAAGGTGTCCAATTATATAGGGCAGGCCAACCAGTCTGCCTGGCTCACTGTCCTGCCAAGACAGCAAGGTAACAACGTTTTTGTATTTGCTTATTTTAGTGTTGATTTTTTTTTTTTAAAGAAAGCTGAATATAGAAGCTGAAAAGTCTTGGTGCTTTGGGCGACCGCAGGCAGCTTCTACGATAATTCTGGTGGCCTTGGTATATTTGTAATTATCTTTCTTTGGTGATGCAACTGGCCTGATGCCAGCAGCCATGGAAAAATGCCCACAACGTTCAAAAGTGCTTGCTCTCATTTCTAACCCAGTGCAGGCTCCACCTCCATCTCCTTTCCAAATTGTTCCTTCTGGTTTGTTGAGGAGCCTTGGTGGTGAAGGCACTCAGCTGCTCACCAAGAGGTCAGCAGTTCAAGCCCACCGGCTGTTCTTCTGAAGGAAGACATAGCACTCTTTTCCGGGAGAGACACACAGCCTTGGGAGCCCTGTGGGGTGGTTCTACTCTGCCCTGGGGGGCTGCTGTGCGTCAGAATTGAGCTGATGGCAGTGGATTCTGGCTGATCTAATTTGGGCTGCAAATTTCCCATCGTTCTTGCCCTGCCCCCCTGATACCAGTTGAAACACATATCTGGGGGCTGCTTGCTGTTGTGACACTTGCCCATCATCAGACGTCATGCCTGCTTCTGCCTCAAATTGTTAGAGAAATATTGGCATGAGAGAATTGTCCAGCAAAGCTTCAGTCTTTGATGGTATCACTTAGGAGACACTGCCCTTGACCTTGCTGTTTCAAACTTAAGGGCAATGTTAGTGAATGAATATCCTGCTGGGCACTATTGCAGGCAGAAGATTCACTTTTTTGATTTGCCATAAGTCACATTCAAAGGTTGATGTATTTTTTAAAAGCCTGGTTTTATTGCTACCCAGGTCATGGTTACTTCTGCTTTCAGTGTCTGTGAGTCTAGATGGCTAACACAGGAGTTGAAACAACCGGAGCCTCGTAGCCACGGCCGCCTTCTGCCCTGGTTGGTTTCCACAGGGCCAGGAGGTTCTGCGGAGTCTCCAGGTGGGGGCTTCATCTTCCTCCATCTGTTGTTGCACAGCACAACCACTTAGCCAGAGCCCCTCATTTCTCAAGGTGGGAATCTGCAGCCAATAGGACCAGAACCCAGCTTAGAACCCTTTTAGGGTACCACACGTTTGAAAAACCAGCCTTAAATCTCAACATCAAGAGAAGGCAAAGAACACGAATCTGTGGGTTGATTTTTCCATGCCTTTGATTGCATGCACGTCTAGGTGGTGAAGTCGGCGTGGTGACGGGCCGGTGGAGGTGAGCTGGTTGCTCTTGTCTGTGTCTCTCGGTTGTGGGCTTTGTGGATGGGCTGCAGAGGGACTCTGCTGCGTGAGGCCCCGGCGTGACGCCTCGTGGTTCCACAGCCCCCTCCACAATCATTTCTGTGTTGTCTAGCTCGTTCTCTCGCTTCCCTTGTTTTCTAGGCTGCTGGTGTTAACACCACGGACAAAGAGATTGAAGTTCTCTATATTCGGAATGTAACTTTTGAGGATGCTGGGGAATATACGTGCTTGGCGGGTAATTCTATTGGGATATCCTTTCACTCTGCATGGTTGACAGTCCTGCCAGGTACATACTGCTCTTTCTCTCATGGGTTTCCCTCTTCTGGGTTGATTGCTATAAAATTAACACAGCTTCTGTTCTTAGGAATGGCCCTTTTTATCCTCGTATAATAACTTTTAAGACGATGTTTAAAATTCTCCCCCAAATATAAGAAAGTTGCCGTAGAAATTCACATGCAGTGTGATCCCAAGTTTTCATTTATGATCAAGTACAATGCCACCCTGGAACCATAAAGGGATCCTTTAGTATTTTTAGCAAATTGCTGAATCAATGTATAAATCAGTGAGTCATTGAGTCAGTGTATAAACTCCTTGTCTCTTATGGAAGAAGTGAAAATTACTTTGACACATCAAAGTAATATTTTTTTTCCTCACTCCAAATTACAGTGTTTTGCTTCAAGTCCTTACCTCTTTGCATTTAGTCCTACTTTGTATTTTTAAGAAGATATAAATGGATGGTCATATGTCAAGGTGAAGCACCTGTCCGACAGGTGTACAGAAGCACTGTGTTACCTACCTTGGGAACTGGTGGCGCATTGCATGTTACCATAGACTGGACTCTCTGCCTTCCCTGCAAAGCATGCTCCTGCGAACTTGGACTTGATGTTATTTCTGCTCTACAGAGAAATAAACATCAGTGATGCTCTGTCTTTCTTAAACTAAGCTGCCTCTGAATCTTTCATCTGTATCTCTGCCCTCCTCCTACTTCCTGGATTATCATTGTATGCTCGGCTGTATCTGCCACTTTGCCATTTCCTTTGTAAGACTGCATAGAGTCTGTAGTGTACTTGTATAATGTTCTACTCCAGTAATTAAGCTCTTAATTTTAGAGGAAGGTTTCTTCCTGCTTGCTTGTTTTATATCCAGTAAAATGTACTGATTATTTCATTTTGTGCTGTGCCGCTGAGAGTTTTGACTATCTTGCAAGTATTTTTTTTCTGATTAAAATGTATAAGCTTGGAGTAATCCCATTGCATCTATCTTTTCTTTTGTTGCAAATCTGCATTGTGAATATTTGCTTTGAAACAATTAGATGCCTCTTAGTTGAGCTTGCTAACTTGCAGTATTGCATCCTGCCAGTGCCTGATAGGCACAGTTTAACCAATTTGCCTGACAATTCTAGCTCATTAATGGAGAATGCAGGCAGAGACAAATGGTCCTTTGAAATACACTGCTTGGAGACTGACCCTTGCGAACTAAGGAGAAGCCATTATTGGAAATATATTCAAGAATGTGCAAAATTCTATAACTCTGTGTGTGTATATATATTTGTGTATATTGTATGCACATAAGTATATAATATATATGTATATATACATGCTTACAATGCCATTTGCATTTTTTCATTAAAACTATTGTGACATACCAGTTTAATCCAATGCACAAAAATGTAAATGGTCATTAAGAAATAGAATCAATTTTCAATATTACAAACATTATGATTTGAAGTAAGTCATTCTATTTTTTTACTGGACGTATTTGTTTGCTTAATTGAATTACAATTGAGTTTATGTTAAAAATTCAGAACTTTTCTGACCAGCCCACAAAATGAGTATTCATTTCCTTCCTTGTGGAACTAGGTTCACTTGGAATAAATTATCTTGACTCGTCTTCCTTTGGAAGAGCCGGTCTTAAAGACCGAGGCACAGTGTCTACAGTATTCAAAGTAGACATTGGTTTTGTACTTTTAATTGAGCTTTCATTTGAGATGGACATCAGAGACAATCCTCTTGTTGTGGGTATGGTCAGTGCCTGACAGAACATGGCCAATCTTTGTAACACAGTGGCAGCTGCTCTCTGGGGCTGCAGATGCCTCGTGTGTTTAGATGCAGCGACTGCCAGGGTCCCATGATAAAGCCAGGTCCCCATGAAGACCCTTCATGGGGACAAGGCGCATGGCAGGCTTGTGGCACATGCCTATTACATGGCACTGAGTTCTTGGGAAGGCCATCAGGATTGGTCATTGGTCGTCTCCCCTTGATGCCTGTAGTTGTGATCTGATGTCACTGTTCTGTGCCCTGACTCTGTGGTCTGCTTATCTGTCCCTCCACCCTGTGGTCTGCAATCCAGCTCCCTTAAGAGAAAAGGACGTTAGCACTTCCCCCGACTATCTGGAGATAGCCATTTACTGCATAGGAGTCTTCCTGATCGCCTGTATGGTGGTGACGGTCATCCTGTGCCGCATGAAGACAGCCACCAAGAAGCCGGACTTCAGCAGCCAGCCCGCAGTGCACAAGCTGACCAAGCGCATCCCTCTGCGGAGACAGGTAACAGAAAGTAGATAAAGAGTTTGAAGAAATTTACTGCCCCCTTGACCCAGCCACCTCTGAGAACTTCTCCCCTGATTGAGCTCTGAGACACGAGCGGCTGCTGTGTGGTGCTTGGTGGCAGTATGGCAGGAGGAGCCGGCATAGCCAAGTTTGGGCTATCTGTGTCTTCTACTGCAACCTGTCTCCCAGAACCAGCAAAGACAAGGGTTGTAGAATGAGAAGGATTGGAAATAACGTGTCCCTGTGTTTGGTGAAACTCAAGTCCAGTGGGCCTCTGAAGTATGAACTACTTCTGTCCTCCAAGGCCTAACTTTTTCCTCATTCTTTTTTTTAATATATATTTATTTTATTTTATTGTTTTGTGTGAGTGTACCGTCAAATCAGATCTGACTGGTACAGGAGGAGATTGCCCCTCCTTCCCCGGCAGAACATCTGGTGGATTCGAACCGTGCGCCTCTGGGATTGTAGTTGCAGCTCCTTGCCACTAGGCCACCAGAGCTCCCCTTTTTTCCTCATTCTTGAGATAGACATGGATATGTGGGTGGAATTTGTGCAACTACTATAATGGACAGAGCCCATAGATTGCTTTGACTTACACATTTCCTTGGAGAGCTTGTGGGCTTCGTTCCAGGTCACAGCAAACGTGGGTGTCTCTGGAAAGTGCAGTACACAGAAGTTTTGGCTTCCCAGTGCTTATAAAGGAGAGTTTACATCACACCATCATCCGTTCGGGTCACTGTAAGTTGTGCTCAACTGGATGGCAGTCAACAACAACAGCATCGTCTGTCAGGTGTGCCCTGGTTTGAAGAGGAAAGCTTGAAATATTGTGAGACTCACCAAACCCTGACACAGAGAAATGGAGTGAGCACAGGCTTTTGGGAGAGCTGCTGATAGACCTGCTTGATGCAGGGTGGTCAGAAGCCTTTAACGTATTTATTTGTGTTTCAAAGGCACACTTTTGATGAAGTACAGTAAGACCAAGGATGCCTGTTGCTTTTAAAAAGCAGAGTCAGAAATGAGCACTCCAGAGATAAATCGGAGTTCCTCCTTCATTACTGTTATTTTTGTCATGTGCATCTGAGTCACCTGTGACTCACAGCGACCCTGTGAACAGCCCTCGCCTGACCCAGCCTCACCATCTCTGACTCACCTGCCCCCATTGCCACGGTCACTTGCATCCATCCATCCATCCCACCCGTGTTCTTCCTCTCTTGTGCGATCCCTCTCCCCTTCCAAGCCCGATGTCCTTCTCCGAAGACTGGCTCCTCCCAGCAAGCGGAAAGCCTGTGACACAGTTTCAATATCATTAGTCTGTGAGACAGTTTTGAAAAGGTTCAGCTCCTCTGATTCTGAAAGTGGAATTTTCTGGGTGTGATTTATCATCCCGGTGTGGCCGTGGAGTAAGGATGGAGAGACTTTAGATGGTGTTAGCCGCAGGTGGTATTGAACCTTCCTCTTTGTGCTTGTGTGTGGATCCCGATGGGTTTCATTTACTTCTGGGGAGTTGGGGCGAGATTGAGTCCACTTCTGCTTTAAACCAGCCCCACCACCGCCAGGGGGTTTTCAGAGGCTGTACATCAAATGGGAGGGGAACACCTTTCCTTCTCCAAAGGAGCAGCTGGTGGATTTGAACTGCTTGCCTTTGGGTTGGCAGCACAGCTCCTTATCTAGAAGGCCACTGGGCTTCCTTGTTTTGAGTTTGCCAAGGTGAATAGGCCGGAGTGACTTCCATGCTTTCCTCCCTGGGTCTCAGCAGAGATCCCACGTCACCAAAAAGTTTGGAGCTTGGTTAAACTTCTAATAAAAGAGTTTCTTGGAAACCACAAATACAAATAACTAAGTGACATTTGTAATCCCCTGGCTTCATTTGCATGTGTCACCACCTGTTTAAGGAACCTTGGTGTCACAGGAGGTTAAGTGCTGGGCCGCTAACTGAAAGGACTGAGGGTCACATCAACAAGCTGCTCCACAGTCCGCTCCTGTGAAGAGTCACAGCCTGGTGGGGGCAGGGGAAGAAAATGTGAAATGATGAATAAAAAAAAAAAGATCACAATAGAAAAGGATTTACAGCCTCAAAAACCCTGAGGAGTAGTTCTGCTCGGCCCTAGAGGAGCTCCGTGAATCGGAGTTGACACAGTGACAGTGGGTTTAATTTAGTCGCTTTGGTTTTTATAAACTAGTTGCTTACAAAACAGCAGCTTCTTTAGTCCCAGAGCCAGAGATTCTGGCTCAGCTGGTCTGTGTGGGACCAGGACTGGGCACGTTTAAAGTTTCCAGGTGATTTGAAAATGCACTTTGAGAAACATCCCAGTCTGGCCTCTCCCGGGACTTGAGGTGACGGTGACATTTGCTGGATGAGGCTTTAGGAAGGATTAGGAACCAGTTGGTCAGCGTGGTCTTGGCAGGAATCGGACAGTTCTCCACTAGCCCCAAAGCCTGGGCTGAATGGGCCCTTGTGTGCGTCCCTGAGGCCCTGTGGCGGGCAGCTCTGTCTTCAGGGAGCGGGGAGGAAAGTGTGTGTCAGGTGTGGGCAGGCACCAGCCTGTGCTGTAAGAGCAAGGGGACAAAGCGAGCCCATTGGGTCACTGCCCCCAAGTGTGCCATTGTCGTTCGTGTAAAGTGACCCCACTGCCATTTCTGGGGTCAGCTTTGCGGTCCTGTTAGGGAGCATCCAGCCACATCTGCTGTGATTTTGGGTGCTCCCCCCGCTTTCTCAGTTAGTCCAGGCAGCAGCTTTCATATATGAGCCTTTGGGAGTTGAAAAAGCGGGGTGGAGTTCAAACCTGTTGTCAGTTTTCTAATAGGGGGAAATGCTGCCTTCTGGAACAAACCTGTAATTGGGCTCTGCTAGGCCTTTCCCCTTAATCATTTCATTGTCTTTTTCCTCCCTTGCAAAGGTTACAATGCTCTATTTCCTTACCTATTATTTTGTAAACCACTATTTATTACCAAAACTTTTTGTCATTACAATCAGTAACCCCTTAAGCATTGAGTGCCACCTTCCCGCCCCCCACTTCCCTGCAATGGACTGCCAATCTCTTATGCATCACTCTAATGGAGATATTCCCTATAAGAAGGACCATGTGAGAGTTGTTCTTTAACTAAAACCAAACCCACTGCCGTGCAGTCGTTTCAGGCACCCCTGACCACCCTCCGTGGAGTTGTGAAGCAGAGATATTTGTAGAAGGAGACTGCCACGTCTTTCTCTCAGATTGGCTGTTGGATTCGAACCACTGACCTTTTAGTTAGGAGCTCAACACGTTACGCATTCACTGAGGAAATGAGGATTGTGCTGTCAAGGCTTCCCCATGTTACAGTAGGGACTTCATTTCTCTCGGTGACCGAATCATTATCCACAGTGTAGACGGACCGCATCTGTTGACACTGGGTCGTCTGTACAGGTGGCTACTGTGCGCGTTGCCGCCTGGGGAGCTGGTGCCCTGGTCTTTGCCCGAGGTGCCCTGGTCCATTCCTGTGGCCTGCATGGCTGGAGCCAGGGGGAAGGGGTTGAGTTGTTAACCTGTAGCCCTTCAAATCCCTTTGCCTTCCGCCACGGACATTGTGTGTTCTTTTCTCACCAGCCTCTGCCTGTTTTCCATGGTCTTTCTTTGTTTAAGTCCATCATTTTTCTCACAATCAAAAACCAAACCCACTGTTGTTTACTTAGTTCTGGCACACAGTGACCTTACAGGACAGAGGAGAACTGTCCCTTGGGCTTTCCAAGGCTGGAATGTCTGCAGACACTGGCTGCCACGTCTTTTCTTCATGGGTGGATTTGAACTGCTGACTGTTTGGTTAGCAGCCAAGCATTTAAAGAAGAGGTGCACTGATGTTCCTTCCTCTTTTTCCTCTCTCTTTTCCTTTCCATCATTTAGTCCCTGTTTGGTTTAAGCCAGTTTCCAGCTAAGACACAGCTTGTACGTTCTCTAAGGGTTTGGGGGCCATCGTTTAAAATGAAATTGCCTTAAAAAAAAAAAAGAAGGAAAAAAAATGTAATTGCCTTGTTCTTTAGTAGGGTCAAAGAGCCTAAAGAAGCTGAGGGAAGTTGGCAAGTGCCACTTCCCCTGGGAAAATATGTCTCTGAGACAGTCATGTATTTGGGCTGTGTCGACACACTGCGGCTTTTCATATATGTCCAGATGGGATGGGTTCATTTATTCTTCACAAAGCGGCCTCATTAGGAGGCTCTGCCCTCTTGGAGGAAGAGATGCATATCAGGGGCCTAGATAAAGAGGGTTATTGGATTGTGGCTGGAATGAAAGCCTCAGAAAGGCCCAAAGATATGTTGATGACAGAGAAAGTGACCACAGGGATGCCAGGCATGCCTTTACCTGGCGACAGGTGAGCCTGTAATCAGATGTCTCTCGGAGGGGTTCTTCCTCAGCATTTGTGAAGCCATGTTTTACTCTGTTGGCCCAGCGTCTGGCCACACAGGTAGTATTCAGCATTTTTATGTTGGCATCTGAATTTTATCTTGGCCCCAGCCCTGGCCCTTCCCCAGCCCACACTCACACAGCTTCTCATGCATTCAATCCTTGTACTCTTTTTAGAGCACTGGAGCTGTTTCTGATCAATTTGGGGGTGTTTGCTCCTAGGCAGTTGCCCATCCCTGCTGGTATACTGGTGAACAATGGACATGTCATCGTATGGTGGTGTTTTTGTGGACAAAAGTATTTTTCTTCTTTTAGCAGTCATGATAGATGGTGAAGAGATTGAGATTGTTAACCGCTTTAGATCGCTTGGCTCCACAGTCAACACTCTTGGTGCCCACAGGCAAGAAATCAAAAGATGAATTACATTGGGAAAGTCAGCTGTCAGGGACATCTCCAGAGTAATGAAGAGCAATGATGTCAGTCTGGGGACTAAGGTGCGCCTGATCCAGGCCATGCTCTTTGCAGTTACTTGCTATATACATCAGAAATCTGGACAATGACTAGGGATGAAAGGAGAATTGATACCTTTGAGCTGTAGTGTTGGAGAAGAAAGTATTGAATATA